AAAAGACGTAGCGAAACTGAATTACAAAAACAGCAGGCTCATTTACTGTAGGGACTTGTGACCAGCACTAGTAGATTTCAATTCACAGTAACTGCCACGACCGACTTTCTATTAGCCTCGGCATTGATCAAGTGATTTTCTTCGTATTTTTGTTGAGCAAACGCGAGGTGTTATTATTCTTTGTTAACGATTAAGCTGACGTTTCGGCGGATTTCGCCCGAACGCACAGTCAGAGTATATCAAGTTCACCCGAAAAAAGCCGAAAGAAAAATGGCTTCCATTTTTGAACGTACAAATTCACCTATCAGAAAATGGCTACATTACAAAGTGGTACCGAAAGCCAAGTAGTAAAAACATCTTGGTTCATTACCTCTCCTCTCACCCCTCTCACACGAAAAGGACGCTTATAAGAAACATGTTTCGAACAGCAACCAACGTGTGCACGGGAAGAGAGCAGAGAGAGGAGTCCCGGAACTTGGCACGGCAAATAACCATTTCTAATGGCTACGAAACTGTAGCTCAGGATAGGTGTAGAGGAAATAGTAGGCCTCCAAACGACAACTCTAACGATAGAAGGGTCCCGTTTATCCTACCCTTCATCTCAAATGATATAAGTACAGCTATAAAACGCTGCTTAAGAAGGGCGGGCTTAGAGAATTCGGTGAGCGTAGTTGAAATACCACCGAGTAATCTTAAGCGCCAGCTAGTTCGTAACCGCCTATATGACCGTCTATGTGCAACTCAAAATTGCATAATTTGCCCCAGTGGTAGAGACGGTGATTGCATGAGCTCGGGTATAGTTTATCTGATCTCCTGTAAGACGTGTGGTGACGAATACATTGGCGAAACGGGTAGACCTCTCTGTGTCCGCATGAAAGAACACCTAGCCGGCAAAAATAGACCAAATACCCCGCTAGGCACACATAGGACCCAGAGACATAACGGGGACGACTTCGAAGTATGTGTCACGATCCTCGCACGCGAATCAAGAACACAGGCGCGAAAAACTCTCGAGGCACTCTGGATTAATTCCAGAAATCCGAAAATGAACCGCAGGGAAGAATGCCTCATTATCACGCGTGATATAGGGCAGTATATAAAACTGCTTTTCTGATGTGAGGGGCACATTATACTTCCACGTGATTTCTGTGCGGTTGGTCTCTACGAGACATACTTAGTGGAAACCTCATAGGAAGCGGTGAGTGTGCAAAGCTGTGTTCAAAGGGATTGAAATCTTGGTTTGGGGTTTCTTTGTTTGGTTATGGAGGCGTCTGGCCGAGTAGATTGCTATCAACTTGACCTTTCCAGGCTCTGAGGAAGGCGAAATCCGCCGAAACGTCAGCTTAAACGTGAACAAAGAATAGTAACACCTCGCGTTTGCTCAACAAAAATACGAAGAAAATCAATTCACAGTGCGCGGCGGAAAATCAGGCGTCCCCAACGGGGATGCCATCGACAATCTAACATCGTCGCGAATGTATAAAATGATCTCAGCTGTTCCGCCAAGGCTTGTTTCGATATTCTATTTAGTACTGCGTGAACGTGGATCATACTCAAACTATGCCTGTGATAATATCAGAACAATGTATAACTTTTATCTACTGCCAACCAATTTTTACGTTCAGCTATTATGTGAAATACAGCCACAATGATGCTGAGATATGTGCAAAGCTTGGACGCTAGGCCGGACCGGACGGCGATTACCTTTTCCAGGGAATCAGGCGTTACGCAGTGCACCACTGAGGACTCCGTTGGAAAGTGTAATCGAGTTTCGATCTGGTCTACGTTCCAAGTTTTGTAAATGTCTCAGCATCACTGTGGTGATATGAGAACAATTTCCTTACACAGTATTGTGAATGAACGTACCTTACTATCTCTAGTTGACCAACAACTGAAACTTGTCCTACATGAAGCATTTAACCCAGTTCTAGAGGAACTGAACCACCGTGATATATCCCTTTCATCGCCAATAGACCCGCCTCGACCATGAGGACGGAAACATATCAAGGGACAATTCATTGACATTCATTCATTCATTCATTCATTTGAGAGACATTTCCAACTTGATCCCAAGTACTGTGGCTGAGGTTCTCAACTGCGCTTGAAATGAACATGATCTCACGAACTGGGACAAATATCTGAGAAAGGTCAGCACTCAACAGCAAACCACATCCCAACTGCGGTCACGGAAGAGCGCCATGAATGAAATGTTTGAAGAGGTGGCATAAATTAGAATGCCGTCAATTTTATTTACTGCCCATTCTTTTTTAATGGCAGGATACTATGCCATCAGAATTATGTCATTTAAAGGAAGTATGCCATTAAAAAAAGAGTAGGCAGTAAATAAAAAGTGATGTTTAACGTTTTGTTTTCTGCCTTCTATAATTTTCACGGCAGGTTACTAAGCGAAATAGAACCACAACGTTGCTGAGATATTTGCAAAACTCTGGACCGCAGGTGTCTACGGTGGGGAACGAACGCGCTATTATCCTTTCCGGGGAGTAACGCGTTCACCACCACACCATGCGGGTCCTTCGTTTCGCCTGTCTCCCAGCTATTTCTATCGATCTTTTTGCCACAGCAATCACCCGTCAGCGAAGTTGATCTGGGGAGCGCAAATCGGCATAGAACCCAGTTAAGCTATGGCTGTAGTTGAGTGATGATAAAGTGATGTTGTGATTTATACCACGGGTTCAGCTTAACTGGGTTCAATGCTGATTTGTGTTCCCCAGATCAATTCCGTTGACGGGTGATTCCTGCTAGCATGTATAGGTTAAAACAAGGCCGAGAGAAAGGTGAAACGAAGGATCCGTATGGTGTTGGTGTGAACGCCTTGGCACCCGTAAAGGATAACAGCGAGTTCGGTCCCCACCACAGATACCAGAGATCCAGTGTTTTGCGAATATCTCAGCATCATTATGTTTGACGAGAATTCGTGGACTCGGTCTTCCCAAGAATCCAAGCTATCAGTTACATAAAGGGCTGGAAGTTCTCCTATATATTCCTCAATAAAAAACCGTTGTTGTCTTTTGCATTGGATATATTAAGCATCCTTACGTTCTCCTACACATTCCTAGAGAGTAGGCATTTTTTGTCGTGGATAAACCGAAGCAAGTCCAAAACTGGCTATCAACTGTTAACGTATAAGCAGTTTCAAGCCTTTCACGATGAAGCTGATTTTTTGATGACTGACGAAAATCTCTCGACTTTTACCGTATCTCAGGAGCGCAAATATCCGGAAACTTACAGCGAACACTGCTCCGCGTGAATAATCGCGTATGCATCCCTCCAAATTTAAGCGCATTCATTAATTGAATATTGAATTAGAACTTTCAAAAAACTAGTGACGAACTGACGAAGGTTCCAAAATTTCAATAGAAAGAGTTGCAGCTGCAGACAACGATACGCTAAAAAGCACCATCCTGTCTTCCCGGACGAGACTGCTAAACTTCGTTCAAAGGAGAAATATAACCCCTAAAGCGATAAAAGAAATACATGGCATGTCCTCCTACCTACCATGCAATTTTGCTTACTGTCTTACCCGATAGAGTGTGCACAGTGTACTTGCGTCCGTACCACAAATCTCACGTCAGGCAGTGATCAAACATCGCTTAATAGCTTGTTGTCAAGAAAGCTACAATAAACAGCATGAGTTATCATATCAGTATAACTCTGAGTCCCACTTTTCTTGTTTAATTTTATTTCTTTTAATTGTAATCTTCCTTCTCGACCACCGTTATTTGTGTATTTTTTCACTTTTTCATTCATCGTACACTATTGGGCATTACTGCAAAACTTCTTTGTATTCTGCTGGTCATTCTTTTAACATCATTCTGTTTCGAACTAGTCGGGGATCATCGTTTGGGTTACCTAACTGTTTTCGTTTTCTTAGGTGGAATATGTTCAGTAACGGTCTCTACTAAAATGACGTGTGATATGGACGCAGGAGAAGAAAGTGATATTCGCTTATTTCTAAATTCACTGGATATTACTAGTGTTGCCTGGAAGGACGATGCTGAGCGGTAAGTACTGATTGTCTGCAATAAAGCCATATTTCGGATCCACAACTTGGTTCTCAGATGGATTCTGATGAAAATAGAATTGGTTCGATCGGACAGACGCGTTCCTCGTTTTAGTATTGGTGATATCGACCAAAGTCTTTCGGGTGCGTGGGTTTTTGTTGTTTTCACTTAATTCCTTTGCAATTTTTTATTGTGTAGAGCGTCAGTTTCTATAAGCTTCTGTATTGTAGACTCAACGTTTCTTGTTTCGCTTTCGAAAGTTATTTTTGTTGTTGCCGTTGTTGTTGTTGTTGTTGTTGTTGTTGTTGTTGTTGCTTGTTGCGGGAACAACAACAACACTAGTATCTTACACCAACTTCTTATTGGCTCAACAAGATCAGTTCATAAATCATAAAAACATATAAATAAATACTTGCTTACTTGCTTGGATACTTGGATGGCCCATCATCTCTGGTTGTGCGGGCCTCAGCATAATTTCCAATTCCTCGGAGTTTTGCTGGTTTATCCATTGTGGTTCCCTGAAGTCCCGAGGTTAGCCTGGCCAAAGTCTGCTCCAGGTCGCTACCATCACGGACAGTTACCGCCGTTGTGGATGAGAAGATTTGCCACCAAGCAACTAGTTTGATACCAGGACGCTGATGGATCTTGATATTGGTATACTCTTAAATGGGCGTCCTGATGGAAACTCCGGGCTCTTTATCAGCTTGGAAGACCCTGCTGACGGACGAATGCTCATGCTGTACATCGCAGCCGGACACCCGGAACCCCTAGCCACGATGAGGTGGTAAACCGTTAGAAGGATATAAATAAAATATATCGATTGTTTATGTCAAGGTTTATAGAACGTCGTTCTTTTGGTTGTTTTTGTGTTTTTGCCTTTGTCACTGTTTTCTATACCAAAAAAAGAAAATACTATCAGTATTGGTTTTTTAATGGCACTCTTTCTTGATGGTCGACTTGTAAGGTTTAGCTAGTAATTGCAAAGATGCCTCAACACAAACTGTTGCTGATGACGTTCTACAAGCGGAACCCGCCGAACAATCATCGAAATCTCTCAGTGAGGTTTCTCGAGAATGGAATGATGGTACGCTTTGTTTATTACGTCAATTTATGGCCACTGATTGGAGCTGCGTGAAGCATAATGGTCAGAGAAGCCCCGTACTGCACATGGGATCGATCACCGTGCCCCTGGCCCACCAAGCCTTCCATCCTTCCGAAGTCGGCAAATTGGTACCAGACTTTTCTGGGAGGATAGAAGTAGTGGCTCAATACATCGGTAGGCCACCGCGAGTCATTGTAAAGGCCAGATATACATTAAATCACCTCCAAACGATGCTTGATGAAGTCGAATGCATGGCGCATCCTTAATGGCATTGATAAACGCCGAGAGCTTTATCCTTTTATGGTGGATGCGAACGTGTTAATCTGTGAGCAATAGTAAAATCTTCTTTTAGGAAAGGCAGTCTCTGCATTTGATGCACTTCGCTTAGTGAAGCGTGGTATCGTGAAGTGCCGTGAACTGGAGTCACGACTGGATGCAGAGACAGCGATTTTTGTCAGACGTTCTTATGTAGCTCCCAGTGTTTTAAATCATTTGCCATACCAGAATTACGATTACAATTATGTTAGTTTTATTTTTTTGAGGTTTTGTTTAGTCTATAGATAAAGACGAGCGTGTTAAGGTAACTAACTCTTGTTGCGAGAATGTTATTGGTTACATGCCGATACCAACGGGTGTTGCTGGCCCAATTCCAATTAACGGCCATGAATTCTATATTCCTATGGCTACTACGGAGGGAGCCTTGGTTGCGAGTACTAACAGAGGATGTAATGCCGTTAAGGTATGTTTTATTTTATATGTTCAATACAATTATAGCAATCCTCCCAACGGTTTACCGTCTCATTGCGGCTGGGAGGTGTTCGTGGATGTATGATTGCAATGTGCGGCGGGGACATTCACCGCTCCTGCAGGATCTCCCATGCTAAGAAGAATTCCGGCGTTTCCATCAGGAAACCAAGCTATAAGTGAACCAATACCAGAATCCACTACCATCCTACTGTCAAACTAGTTGCATGGTGGTAAATCTTCCTCTGGTGCACAAGAGCGGCGACGGCTTGTGGTGTGACGACCTGGGACAAACTTTGGCCAGATTGACCTCAGGGCTTCAGTGAACCACAACGGCTAAAGCAGCAAAACTCCGAGAAATTGTTATTTCTATGTCTAAGTTATGCTGGGGCGCGCACAACCAGTAAATACAGGCCATCCAAGCGTCCAAGCAGGCAATTGTAGCTATGTGTTTTTTATGGAAATGTGGCAGTTCCATTCAATTTACTGTAGGTTAGCACGGACTGTTCATCATTTTTAGCACAGTGGCGGTGTATCAGCTCATGTCATTGATGAAAAAATGACACGCGCGCCTGTGGTTAAATTTCCCAGTGCATCTGGTGCCTTGTAAGTATTACACTTTTCACTCCTGTATTTATATTGTCGTTAAGCGATCTAGAGTATTGATTACAGTGAGTTGAAAAAATGGCTCAATATACCTGAAAATTTCGCCGTTGTGAAAGCTGAGTTCGAATCAACGAGTAGGTAAGGATTTTCGGGATAAGTTTGCCATATTTAATCTACTTTCAGCTCTTTAGGTTCACTGAGTTGCGAAACATAGAGGTGGCAATAGATGGTAACTTAGCGTTCGTTCGATTCGTTGCCTCCACAGGTGATGCTATGGGTATGAATATGGTATCTAAGTGAGTGTTTAAAGCGCACATTTTTTTCCATTTATTCCTTTGACAATAAAAAGGGTAAAGGTCTCGGCGTCGATCAATGCGCTGAAGGATGCGTCATGGATTCGACTTCATCAAAATCCTCTAGAGGTGATTGAATGCACACCTGGCCAATGCAATGAACCGTGGTGGTCTACTAATGTATTAAGCCAGTGCCACTATCTTTCCAAAGAGATCTGATGCCAATTTGCCGACCTCGGAGTCAAGGAAGGCTTGGTGAGCTTGGGACCAGGAATCGCACCCATATTTATGCCAGGGCACTCTAACATTGCGCGTCAACCGCCTTGACGATAAGATTTGTATGTATCCATAAAGATCTTTGTAAGATTCTTAGGCGGAGTCTCATCATCAGCCATCATTTTGGCGATATCTCGCTAAAATAATTTCCAGCTACCCTCGAGAACTTTGTACAATAAATGGAATTGGATAATGTGGGAGTGATATCAGTGGCCAAACACTACCCCTCGTAGTTTTGATAATTATATCCTTCTTATAATGTGAAACATGAACTCCGAACAAATGTTGACCGACTTTATTTACACTTGTAGCACGGAGTGAACATCTTAGCGTATTACAGTTGCCTCTGTCTTGGTCATACATCGTAATGAAGGATTTAGCTCCAGAGCTGCACGACGAAATGAGCTGGTTGGAGAACTTGCAAGAACAAAGACGATATAGTGAAGAAGACAAAGAACACCAGACTCCTTCCCAGTCCTTTCGACTCCTTGATTCCATCTGCTGTAAATTACGCCTAGGAAACCTGGGTACTACCTAAGCAGGACGAAGCCCACTCAATGTTATGAAGTATCACATAGTTAAGAGAGGGAATCTCAGGTTTCAAGCCATAGCGATAATCAAGAAGCAGAAATACCTACGAGACGTCGAAAATCGAGAGCAGGGTGCGTCACGTGTGTTGGTGACAGCCGTTGGACAGGAGACACTAGATAATGTGACACTCATAATGTGACAAGTGCACGACAGGAATACCACCGACCCGATCACCCGAATTTTTCACAAAGATGCTGGAGGAAATATATGGTGCTAAGGTAGTTGCTAAACCGAAAAGGACTCACTGGACTACCATAACACGTGACATTTAGACTATTAATGGGAAGATGGGTGATGTAGGAGATGTATAGATAATAATGTGAATAGGACTATTATTAATTGAAATTAGAAGAATTTGGAAATAATTCGAGTTGCGGTGTGAAGAAAGCGTATTGTTTTATATCTGTTAAGTGTTCCACAATTTGCTTCCTGTTTTCAGAGGAAGTTCTCTCGCAATGAATCTCTTAAAGCAAAAATTTCCATCGATGCAACTGCTTGCCTTGAGTGGTAACTATTGTGTAGATAAGAAGGCTGCTGCGATTAATTGGTTTGTACTCATTTTACCTTATTTGAGTTGAAAATTATTGAAACGTTTACGTAGACATATTCACAACTAGCCTACCAGTAGTTTTCCGAAAGCTAGAGCATTTGAGAAGTTGAGAGTTTGGAAGACTTAGGAAAGAGATCCATCGCGTTAGTATCTATAAAATCTTCGAAGCCAAAAACATTAGCGATGATTTCGGGGACTTTATGGCGTGCTTTTGGACCTAACTCCACTTCTTCAGTCACTTTGCTGCTCGAGACATGATTCTTCACAAAAGAAGACGATTTTCATGTCCAAAATGAGAGTTCCATCTGGACAGAATAGGAAATTTTGCATCTTGTTAGTAAAAGCATGTAGGTCCTAATGACTGTTAGTTGGTGAAATTGGTCTCGAGCCGTTGTGTTTTTGTTTTGAGGTGAAAGACGTTCCCGTTTTCACATATGCATTCACGGAAGTCCATGGGCATTGTTGGCAATACGTTTATATTCTGAGTTGACTTTCAAGTTCTATTTTAGACAGATATCCTATTCATTCTTTTAGGATCGATGGTCGTGGTCGTTCCGTTGTCGCTGACTGCATATTGCCAGCAAGTGTTGTTGCTTCAGTTCTTAAAACTACGCCAAAGAAAATGGTTGAGGCTGCGCAGGTGCTGTATCGACTATTTGTAATTATCTTATATATTCTTGCTTACTTGGATACTTGGATGGTCCGTCCTCACTAGTTGTGCGGGCTGCAACATAATTTCCATTTTTTTCGGAGTTTTGCTTGTTTAGCCATTGTGGTTTCCTAAAGTCTCGAGGTTAGCTAGGCCAAAGTGTGCCCCAAGTCGTCACCACCACAGGCAGTCGCTTCCCTTATGGATCAGAGGGACCACCATGCGACTGGTTCGATACCATAACAGTGGTGGATCCTGATATTGGTTTACTCTTAGTTGGGTTTCCTGATGGAAACGCCGGACTCCTCAGCTTGGGAGACCCTGTCAAGGGATGAATCCTTGCGCTGTACATCGCAGCTTGACACCCAGGAAGATCCTCCAGCCACGATTGCTCGGTAAGCCGCTAGGAAGAATTATCTTATACAAGTATAAACAAATAATTGTTGCAACGAACTTCACGATCTTGAATCCCGAGATTGATCTCAGCATTAATTGTAAAAAACAAGGTTATAAATTCTTGATTAACTCAGTTACACAATCTTCGTTTTTGTACGCTTTCACTTATTTTAGTCCAAGTTGCAATCCGGATCGGCTAGAGCAGTGTGTATCGGTGGAAATAATGCACATGCTGCAAATATAGTCACAGCAATATTTTTGGCAACTGGACAGGTTTGTATTTGTTAGCTTATTTTTGGTAGGAGTTCCCTACTACTTACTAAAATGGGCTTAAATTTTGGGACTTTTTATCCATATTCCTATCAGTTCTTACATCACATTTCTTGATACAGAAATTTATAATTCACTTAAACTCGTCCGAATGTTTCCTAGTCATACAGTTCTTACTTTGGTATTTGGTGTTAAACGAATTGGTTTCAAGTCTCAAGAATGCGTTTTATCAAATAAGTTTCTAGGAAATCAAAACAGGTGTTGTTTAGGATTGTGCTCAAGTTATTTCGTCATCTATGTGTTCGACACGTATGGAAGAAACTTCAGAAGGTGACTTGTATGTTAGCTGTACCATGCCGTGTGTTGAAGTGGGGACCGTCGGAGGTGGAACGATCTTACGCCCACAGAACGAATGTCTACAGGTAAACTTAGTTAAACGGTTGATGAAATCTACGGGTAACGGTGTTCTTCTTTTAGATGCTCTCTTGTGCTGGCCCATCCCTTCCAACTCCTGGTGCGCATGCTAATCGCCTGGCAGAGATTATTTGTTCCACTGTGTTGGCTGGTGAATTGTCTCTTATGGCTGCTTTGATTACGGACCAGCTAGTTTCTAGCCATATGAAATTGAATCGGTAAGCGTCACACTCATACCTGTTTGCATGCATTACTAGTAATAAGTGGATGGGCTGAAATGAAAACGTAAGGTCTGAGTGATCTGCTTATTTTAAGATCTCGTTTGCAACTATATCCATCAACAACATCGTTGTCATTGCCAGCGACACAGCAACCAGTTGAAAACCCATCTCCACTGGTAGGAAATTCCTCGAGGAAAGACGTACGTGTCAAGAGGACTACACTCAAGGTTGAGTGCTCGAATATCCTGTGATTCAGTTGTCTCCTCTGCAACTGGTTCGTTTTCCTCTTTATCTTTCGCCAGTCATATAGAATTGTTACGATGACAATACACATTCCTAGTGCTTTCTTTCAGCACTTGGGATTTTTAATACTTTTTCTTTTTTGTCCACATACTATCGCGCTGTTTATATCGATGATACTTAGTTTTGGTTTCTATCTAATCTGATTGAGATTTTCGTGAAGTTTATCATGCTTAGGTATAATAGGGCTTCTTTTATGTCCCGTCAAATATCAGTTATAACGGTTGTTCGATTGCTTCTTTAGATTTAATGACTCTGCTCTGTTATTTAGGATGTATTAGTCTAATTTAAATTGAAGGTTGAGCTTACGGTTATAAATGATCATTTCGAATAGCAACATTCGATCCGTCGAGTGCATGGGAGTATTTTATTGCTACAGTATTAAACTTTGTGCAAGTTACTGAGGTGAGCATCTTTCATTTTAATAGTTTGAAATAGATACAGCTGTAGGCATAGTTACTCAATATTGAAGTCTGATTCTCATGCATGATCGTGATTCCTAACTACCAAGTTGCTTTCTCCCAGTCACATAGATGCAAGTCCTCCGGTCATCCTTCCAGTTTTTTTCTTATCGTGTCAATGTAAATGTGGTATGCGCACAGTTCTTTTGGTGGTTGTAGGTTCCGTGTTGAATGCGACTTCTGTAATTTTTCTTTTTTAAAGCTCTATCGTATCCGCTGTGATTTACTAGATGACTATTTTCAGATTCTATGGAAATATTTTGGTAAAGTTTTAGGATCATGTTCAGGTGTCAACAAGACATATTGGAAGTCATGCACACATCTTTTAACCGTTTGTTTAAGTTGTGTAGAAGCTACAATATAACTGCCAACGTTTTATTTGAGGATTATGCGGGTTTGGATAATGATGAGAGTTTGTATACATGTGTTTCCCATATATGAACCGTAGTACCTTCCAGGCTCCAGAAAAAAGCGGTCGTTCTAAAGAGCCACTTGAGAAGAGCCTGGTGAGTTACCTCTTAGAACATGCCAAATCTGCCCAGAAACAGCGGTAAGCTGCAACTGTCCTAGTCCTAAAATTTGTCTTCCAAAGCCAGTAATGGTAAACAGCTTCCGAAATACGTCTTCTAGCAACAAAGGTTTGGATATGACTTGCTGATGAATAGAACTACTTATGATCAGATCTCATTTCAGTCATGCTTATGACTATCGCAGTAGTAATCAACACGAATGGGCTTCAATACGTACCACTTCTGAAGCAAATGTCTCTCGGGATTTATAGCAACAACAGAGTCAGATGGAGTCTCCACGATTACGAATATGGCCGGACATGTCTAGGAGATAGGCTAACAAGAATAGGCGGATTGACGACAGTCCCAAACCATTACATATGCTCCAATATCTTCCGTATTCGTATGTGTGTAGATTGTAATAGCCTTACAAAGTAGCTTAGCTGTGACTTGAGCTTATTGCAATATTTGATAATGTTTTTCTTATGCTAATTACTTAGATGGCACGTCCTCACTGGTTATGCAGGTTCCAGCATATTTTCCATTTTCTCGGAGTTTTGCTGGTTTAATCACTGTGGTTCCCTGGAGCCCCGAGGTCAGCCGGACCAAAGTCTGCCCCAGGTCGTCTCCACCACAGGCAGTATGCTAATAGGTATCTATACTTTAATGTCAACGGACAAATTGTGTACAGAGTCCGGACATCTTCACAATTTTTCTCATTTGCACTTTGTGACCTTTTCTGCCCTTATGGATCAGAGGGACATTTGCCACCATGCGACCAGTTTGATACCAGAACTGTGATGGATCCTGGTATTGGTTTACTATTAGCTGGGCTTCCTGATGGAAAATCCGGACTCACTATCAGCTTGTGAGATTCTGCTAGGAGGTGAACCCCCCGTTGTACATCGCAACACGACACCCATGACCACCTCCTAGCCACGATGAGGTGGTAAACCGTTGGCAGCATACCCACCGCTGAGTCGATGGATCGAGGAAATCAAGGAGCAGATTAAGGATTCGTAAACTAATAAGTTAGTTGGAGTAGTAAAACCGCTCTTTTATAGAAGAGATTCACAAGCGAGACAAGACAAGTTAAGATTCTAACAACAAGTTAAATAGTGACAAAAGTCCACGATGAAGAAAGCGCTGTAAGATAATTGGTGACTAATCAGTAGCAGGTTTCAATATTCATTGTTTTTATATAAAGTATACAGTAACATGTTTGCTATTCAGCTTTCGAAGACGAAGGTAACAACAAATTCCTCGAAGCGCGCTACATTGCGAGATGATGGCTTCGCTCGAACAGGACTGAATGATCATTTCAGTTTCTCGTAGCCATTTGTGTCCAGCGATTCCAATAAGCATTTACACAGATACACATATTACCCAAAGTAAACGGTAGAAACTGTTAGCTGTTTGCCATTTGTTGCGACTGTGAGAAGCTTTAGGGTCTGTGTGGCGCAGTGGTCAGAGGCGCCCTGCAACACATGGGATCGATCCCGTGTCCCCGGCTCACTAAGTCTTCCGTCACTCTGGGGTCAGCAAATTGCTACCAGATTTGTCTGAGAGGATAGCAACACTGGCTCGGTATATTGGTAGGCTACCGCGAATCATTGTAAAGGCCAGATATGCATTCAGTCACCTCCAAACGTTGCTTTATGAAGGCGAATTCATGGCGCATCCCTCAGGGATTGATCAACGCCGAGGGCTTTTATCAGAGGTCTCTAAGAGAGGCTAATGAGGTGATCTTCATAATTTTGTTTGGTATGCCGTTGAGGAAAACCTCCTTATACGGTCAGTGTTTAAGGTTAGGTAAACGGGTAAACTCCACGAGGTGAACAGCGACTTAGTACGAACGGTTATCAGCTAGCATTTTCCTTACAATTCTAAGGAACCATTTGTCCTTCTATTCGTGGACCTCGTAAACTTCCAGTCTTTCAGCCACCATTCCCCGTCTACGCACCTTCTGTTCTCGATTACGTTGGTGTGACTGTTTCCATTTCATAATTAAATACTCTGAAGAAGGCGATACTGCCGAAACGTCAGCTAGTGTTGTATTGTATTGTGTTTTTCTATGGAAGTAAATGTATGCTGTTTAAAAACTTCGCGAAGCTGAAAAAAAAACCTTGCTGAGCAAGAAAACGACGCATTAAATACTTTCTCTGAACATTCTAGTTGTAAATCATAAAACTAAAACGCCTCGATATTGCTCTTTTGTGAGTAGTCCAATCGCCAAGACAACTCAACTGCAGCATGTATACCCAGACATGGCTAGCATGAACGGTCCACATTTCTTTCACGGCAACGCACCGTCGCATGTTACATATGTAACGCTTCAGAAGTTGAATGAGTTGGGTTACGGGACCTACTCACCTTCTATCCTCATAGGACTTCTTGTTAGGCAACTCTAATTTCACAGTTTCAAGCTATCGAATCTAACAAATTGTCTTCTTAGTCAAAAACACGGCTGAGAAGAAAGTGAAACGAAGGACTCGCATGGTGTGGTGGTGAACGCGTTAGCTCCCGGAAAGGGCAATAGTGTGTTCGGCCCCCACCGCAGACACCAGAAGTCCAGAGTTTTGCAAATATCACGGAATCATTATGTTTATATTTCATATAATACCTTGCCATTAAAAAATAGTAGGCAGTAAATAAAAATTGACGTTGTCTTCTTATTGTTGGGCTAGTCACTTCAAACTTCTTCAAAATCGGCTAGCATTTTTGAAGGCAGCCTACATTTGACACACTGACGCTCGGTTGACAACAGTGAATGGTATTGAAGAGCATTTCAATCCTTTCCTTTTGCAACTAAGGACTTATAAAGCGATGCGTTTATGGAATTTAAGGCATATAGCTATTGTGTCTTATTCCATTCAATCAATAAGTCTTCATCTTACTAAGGAAGTCAATATGGACTGACAACCAGAATATCCCGATTAGTTTTTAAATGGCCTTGTCCGCATTCTGAAACAAAATTTCGATAGATGTGAATTACTTAGCAAATGTTAAACACTCACCTGGAGTTTTACTAAGTTGTTTAACTGCTGGCAGAGAATTTTCCCGAAGACCATATAGTCGTGCGAGGCCAGAATCTAAAATTCAGGTATTCGATCAAGTTCCAAAAAAATCGTAGAGCGCCTTTCCTAAAAGTTCTTAAAATACTACCTTTGCGGCACAGAGCGCCGCTTCCTCAGCGCCGAAGACGGTGGAGCAACCGATCCCGGAAGGCATACGAACAGAAGACCATATATCAAGCATCATGTTATTCTCATTGACAGGAGGGCAGTTGATCACCTACTCAAACGCTTCCAATAGATGCCAATGGAGCTTCATAAGAGTAATATGTATTAAGTGAACTGACTGGTAACGTAGAGTTACCGGCAAGCACTGGTCCTAAGCCGTTGGAACGTCCTGCGACGGCAATTATGACCATTGGGAACCCATCATTCTCATATTCGCTCAAAATTTCCAGGGTTTCGTGAGTTGCCTGAAAACGCTCGTGATTTTCTTGGCCGAACTTTGACGAAAAGTAGCAACCTTGTGTGCGGAGCTGATACGTAGAATCGAAGCTATTCCGAGTAATTTACAACTAGCAGAAATTCTTTCACAGTGATCACGATCGGAAGGAGACCCCATGATAATCATGGCACGGCAAAGCGGCGTGGTTGAACAGAACCCAGCGGTTAATTCCATCACCTAAAAATGTGCTTTTTCGGTAATCATCGATTTTTGCAATAAAGAGTGGATAGTAAAAGCTGGTTTCTTATACCCAAATTGGAAATATTTTCTTTAAGTTCAAAATTTTGGTTGCCTAGAAGGTTCTACCCTAAAGAAGGTTCCGTAAGACACAATTGCTAATTCTCTATGAGTTAATTCTCTATGACTTCAGAGAGTGTTGTGTATAGTAATCTACTGACTACTGAATAACACATATCTTTGCCCATAATGAAGCTTCCCTCTCAATGGTTTACCGCTTCATCGCGGTTGGGAGGCGTTCCTGGGTGTTGGACTGCGATGTACAGCGGGGGATTCGTCCCCGGCAGGGTCTCCCAAGCTGAGAAAGAGCCCGGCGCTTCCATCAAGAAGCTTAGCTAAGAGTAGACCAATACTACAGTCCACTACCGTCCTGGCATCAAAGTCCCATGATGTTAAATCTCCCTCTGAGCCACAAGGGCTGCGACTGCCTGTGGTGGTGAAGACCTGGGCCAGACTTTGGCCACGCTGACCTCGGGACTCCAGGGAACCATAATGGCTTAACGAGCAAATCTCCGAAAAATGGAGATTATGCTGAGGCCCGCACAAGCAGTGAGGACGGGACATTCAAGTGTCAAGTAAGCAAATAATGAAGCTTCTAAAATATGCATAATAGTGCTCCATTCATTACAATGGGCACTGAAATCAAGGGTTTGTTAATTTTGTACTTATTTACTTGGATGCTTGAATGGCTCATCCTCGCTAGCTGTGCGAGCTAAGCAAAATTCCCACTTTTCCGGTTTTGCTACTTTAACTACTATGGTTCCCTAGAGTCCCGAAGTCAGTCTAGCTAAAGTCTTCTCCAGGTGGTCACCACCACAGGCATTCGCAGCCCTTGTGAATCAGAGGGAGGTTTACCATCACGCGACTAGTTTGATACCAGAACGGTGGTGGATCGATCCTGGCAATGGCTTACTCATAGCTGGGTTTCCAGATGCAAGCATAACCGTTCGATTTTGTTGAATAGTAGTGTGAAACGGAAACCATTAATTCCGACCCACTATCTATTTAACAAATATGTTATCTATGAAGTAATTGAGCTATGCAGCACTTCAAGGAACCAATTCACAGATAAGTGATGAAAGAGAAGCCCCACTATATAGTGCAGCAGTCTGAGGTTGTGTTACCATAACTCTGCCGATAAACATAAAGGCATAAGCAAGCACGTACCTTTTCATAATTGGAAATAAGCTCTTGAAGGGCTTCCGAAGTGACTTCTTTCATATCCCTAAAATATGTTATTAACGTCAGACAAGTTAGCCTTCCTAACAGATCCATGATTAGAGGAAGGTTTGGAATTGATGGTACATCTAGGCAAGTACTGTTCAGGCTCTCTCTGTTTGTAATATTTTGACTTACGCCCGATAAGCAACATTTTTCTAAGTATATTTGGAATCGAAGTTTGTGTTCGCGAAGATTGCACACTCATTTGGCATTCTGATTCCGCTTGGCACTTGGTAGCCTACAAAAGCAAGCGAGCGATGTAACTTAGCTACATTAAACCGATGGAGCTGCTTGAGGGCAACTGTGAAAAAGAAACTGGATTCTGACCAAAGAAATAAAAGCTAATAAAGGATAAAGCTCTCGGCGTTGATCAATCCTTGAGGGATGCGCTACGCATTCGACTTCACTGAGCATCGTTGGAGGTGATTGAATGCATATCTGGCCTTTCCAATGACTCACGGTGGCCTACCGATGTATCCAGCCAGTGCTGCTATTCTCCCAGACAAGTCTGGCACCAATTTGCCGACCCTGGAGCGATCGAAGGCTATGGGCGCGGGGATCGGTTCCACGTGTGTGATGCAGTGGTGCCTCCAACCACTGCGCCACACGCGCCCTATGACCAAAGAAATACTGGTAAAATAAAATTGCATGCCGTTAAATGTAAGGTAAGGGGCTGATAGCGCAATGGTAATGGCAGTGATGCGGTTCACCACGAGAACTATGTCGGTTCAACGTCGCCGCGGGTTCACTAGGCCTCCTATCCCTCTAAAGTCGAGTTTTTAAGCTATACTGATCAAAAACGGCGCATCTGTCACAGTGGTCAGAGGCGCCCTTCAATATACATGGGATTGATCCTCGCGCCCAGATTCACCAACCCTTCCTTTCCTTCGGGGTCGGCAAATTGGTACCAGATTTGTTTGGGAAGATAGCAGCACTGGCTCGATACATCGGAAGGCCACCGTGAGTCATTGTAAAGGCCAGACATGCATTCAGTCACCTCTAACGATACTTAATGAAGTCGAATGCATGGCGCATCCCTCAGGAATTGAACACCGCTGAGAGCTTTATCTTTTTATCGTTTTACTGATCAAGAACTAATTTGGTATGAAGATAAAGAAGCTCAACATCAATATGTTTAGAAATTCGACATCGCAGACGAAGATAGCTCACCTGTAGAACTGCTTGTCTAGTTGAAGTCGACGATCACCGTGAGGCCAAACTCTCCATGAGTCGTTGTCGATGACGTCGGCAAGTAGTATCTGTCCATCAGTGCTGACACCGAACTCAACCTGCCGAATGTGTGTATTCACTACAATGAAGTATTCCAGTTTTCTATGATATCACATTCCATGCAAATTCTGAATGACAAGAAAAGCTGTTAAGCGGAAGAATATTGTTTGTGACGTTTTCAAAAACCACACCTTCATATCGATAAGAACACAATTATGCTTGTTCCAGCACTTTTCCAGCACTTTGAATATCACAGACGTCATATTTTTCATCTGGTTGATCTAAAATAGCAACTTTATTTAAAAAGATATGAGTTCACTCTAAGTAACTTGCTCTAACTGTATCAACACTTAGCGCTAAACAGCTTTTATACTTACTCCCTTATTTGGATGGTCCGTTTTCACTGGTTATATGGGCCCCAGCAAATTTTCCATCTTTTCTGAGTTCAGCTGAGTTGGTCGTTGTGATTCCCTGGAGTCTCGAGGTCAGTCTAGCCAAAGTCTGCCCCAGGTCGTTATAACCACACACAGTCGCATCCCTTGCGGATCATAGGAAGACTTGCCACCATGCGATAAGCTTGATACAAGGACGTTGGTGGATCCTGGCATTGATTTACTCTTTGTTTGACTTTCTGATGGAAAAGCTGAACTCTTTCTCAACCTGGGAGACCTTGGTGGAGAGATGAATCTCCCTGCTGTACATCGCAGCCCAACATCCGGAGGAACACCTCCCAGCCACGACAAGGCGGTAAACCGTTGGGAGGAAACAGCTATTATAGACGTACACTTAGCCGTTTTCGATCTCTTAAGTGTCCCGTACCAACTTTTCAACCCATAGGGATGGAAGTCTTGGTGAGCCCGAGACAAGCGGCCGAACCAACGACCACACTTGTATTGCAGACCACTTCTAACCACTACGCTACACGACTCATGTCAGCCATTATAGTGGATATTCGTAAATAGGTATTCAGAGGCATTCGTGGATGTAAATGGTCGTTGTCAAATTTCTACAGGAAAACTGACAACAGTAGTAAGCAACGTACAAAGGTGGAAAAAAAATCGAAGTCTAGTAGAATTGTGAACTTCAGTACTTCCTTGGAAAACTAGTAAACTTTAGTGTCTGCATATAAAATATTAAGACACACCTCAGCTTTTCCTATTTTAAGCCCGTTAAATTCGAAGTTAGCACATTCGATTTGTTCGTCAGAGTACTGTGGATCATCGTTGGCATCGTCATGAAAATAAGAGAGATGCCATTGTAGTACACAACAGTATAGTGTGGAAGTACTTGTCACAAACCTTGAAGAACGTCTCCATCTTTAGTTGCTTAAAACGATAGCCCTGTTGAACTCCAGGATTTCTCCTAAGGAATGAGCCAGTCGCGATCCTCCTCGCCACCCATTCAATAGGAATCATCTCGCATCTCTTCGCGACGAACTCGTTGTCGCCCGCCTCGGCAACGAAGTGCGTCGCCAGCCCTGCAACAGTACCATTCCAACCCTTCATTCTATTGGCCTGTACGTAGGAAAATGCTAGTTTACCAATGCTGTTTAGAAGTTTGAATACGTTTGCGGTGGTTTTATTGGCGAATCGACCCTTTCCTTTGAGGTCATTTTTTCGAGCGGCGTTGAATGCCGTTATCTGGTCCTTAGATCTGATCAGAACAAAGTCCTAAATAGGGATAAGCGAATACATGGAATACTAGCGTACTTTATAAACTGCCTTTACTCAGGGTTCAAATATTGATTAACAAATACAGTCCATGAATCATTAAGTAGAGAAGTTTTCTTGGATAGTTTCCATTTCTTCTGGTGTAGATGCATGTATTTGCAACTTCGGAGCGAAGGTGTACGCGGTGGGGATCGAACCCTTTCTGGGAGCTAATGTGTTCACCACCACACCAAGCGGGTCTTTCGTTTCACCTGTCTTTCGGCTAGCTCTCGCTAAGTTATAAACTTATACTCGTATTTGTAGAAATCAACAAATTTTCTTCATATAAAACCGTTAGAAGACTACGAGCTATTGCGGAGTCGAAAACCTCGCTTCGAGCTGCACACTGAGAACGGATATTTTGGAAATTAACTATTATAATGAAGATATCATTGGGAAGAAGAGAAGAGCAGTGAGATCGGGATAAGTGGAAACCTGTTAAGGAGAGAAGAACTAGATTTTTCGTAGAGAACAGTAGAAAATAACGTACATCGTGTCCTTTGATCTGAAAGACAATCTTTGTCTTTCCTTCGGCGATCTGCATGAGGTTGGCAGGATCTGCTACCAAGGATTCCATTTCCGCACGCTGAATGGTTAGCGATAAGTGATGTGATAACAATATGGTAATGTCTCCGTAAAATACATGAGGAAGTACCACCAAGACCTTAACAATAAAAAAGGCAACGAAATTTGGTAACGATAAAAGGATAAAGCTGTCGGTGTTGATCAACCCCTGATAGATGCGCCATGCATTCGATTTCACTAAGCATCGTTTGGAGGTGACTGAATGCATATCTGGCCTTTAGTGCCTCGCGGTAGCCTACCGATGTATCGAACCAGTGCTTGTACCCAACCAAATAAGTCTGCTAGCAATTTGCCGACCCCGGAGGGATGAAAGGCTTGATGTGCCGGGGGCGTGGGGATCGGTCCCATGTTTATTGCAGGGCGCCTCCGACCACTGCTCTACACACGAACATTGATAAGAATCCCGTTAAAACCATAAGAATTCTGACATTATAAGCGTCCGCAGAACTGATGCAAATGCAAACAACGATTATTACGAAGAATGTCTTTTTGACACTTTCCTAACCAGTTAGCTACTCCTTTATTATCTTAATGATATTCTGAATTTTTCGGTGTTACGTAGAATATTGTAAGGACAAAGGACAAAGCCCTCAGCGTTGATCAATCCCTGAGAGATGAGCATCGTTTGAGGTGACTGGATGGACATCTGGCCTTTAAAATGACTCGCAGTGGCCTATCGAAGTATCGAGCCAGTGCTGATATCCTCCCAGACAAGTCTGATACCACTGTGCCGACCCCGAAGGAATGGAAGACTTGGTGAGCCTGGGGCGTGGGATCGATCCCGTGTGTATCGCCACTAACCACTGTGCTACACGTACCCTAAATGATACTCTGAGTTTTTCAGTGTTACACAAAATATTGTAGAGGTGCAAACAAGTTCTGCTTTATTTCTTTTCTCTGGAAAGTCCGGCATGGCATCTCATTATCGATTAAATAGGAAACTATCGGTCAACCCCAGACGATGTTTCGACCTTTCTTCTTATATAGACCTCACAGAAAAATGTCACAGACAGTGAAAAACAAGGAAACCAAGTGAAGCACAACATATATGATTATCAGTAGACCTATCGTCTCTTTTTCTTGTTGAACGATGAACGTATCAACGTTCATCAACGACGCTTTAAGCCCCTTCAAGGACGTTAAGAGAGGGGTTGGAAACACCAATGAACGGATTGTAAATAAATGAACCCAGGGTAGCGAAGACAGAGTGTTTGTGGGAATGACACTTATAGAAACCAAGAAAAGGTTCATCTTATTGGATGCAGATTTCGGTACCACTCACATAAATCGTTATCTCTTCATTGGCAAATGAGGATGAAAAGTTGAAGAAGAATGACCAGAGGAATGGATGGATTAGTAATGAGGAGACTAGTAATGAACAGAATATGTCGAGACCGAAAGGGAAATCGATCATGTGAAGAGCGAGATCTTCAGAAGAGTAGATATCGATGACGATGAAGTGCAAGTTCACAGAGAAAAGCGCCGAACTGCGTTTCAACGGTGTTCAGGACATTGATTAATACGTCAAACCTACTGTATTCTATTTGACTGACATGTGGTGGGAGGCTTTAGGCTGATATTCTTCTATTAATGCCGAAGTTTAATGAAAGGCGGATAAAAAACAATGGAGAAAAATAGTTAGTAACAATGTTACTGTTGACATAGAGTCATGCTGGACATCAACAGAGTTCAATAGACTAAGCCAAAAGTGCTACGTAGTGAAAAACCGGTGGCAGCTCGCAATTGGGCGCTATCAGTGATGTAGCGACGATCGGCTGATTGCCTAGGCAGTGGCCGATCGTCGTGCCTTTCTTCATTGACAGAAATACTGTTATCATTCGTATCGAGGACAAATTCGCCGACGAAAACGAGGGACCTACGGGAAAACAACGAAGACAGGCACACAGTGCACGGTTGTCCAGCAAACGCAGACCAAATTGGCCCAATCGCTGGCCCAGTGGGCCTCTCTAAAGAGATCGACTGTGTGGGTCAAGGCAATCAAGGCGTGGTTTGTAACTGTTTATTCATTGCCCTCTTCCTATCTAGTTACAACAACTTCCTCTTCCTGGGCTTTGGACACGGATAGTATTTTCATGAAGCTGTACCTATACTGCTAAGGAAGAAGTGGCAACAATGTTACAAATCCAGTAATTTTTATTGCACAATATTCAGATGTCAACTAGAGCATAACATCCTATGAAACTATATATTTTCCTTAATGTTCGCCCCTGAGACAGCTGATATCGCAATGGTAATGATGCCGCTCATCGCAAGAGCAGTGCTGGTTCTGTTCCGCACTGTGAATTGGTACCGGAGTTCTCTGAGATCAGCTTAGTCCTTCCATTGCATGTGGGATCGCTCTACCACGGCTATATCAAAACTCCTCGACGGGTCGAATCGACCAGCATTCTACAGCTATTTAGAGAAATTTCGAACTTTTTCGTGGATGATGGATGCTAGGAAACGAATCGAATGCAAAAAGTTTTGTGATCCCCACAGTAGATGTAATACATGTGACGTTAGGTCATGTAAAACAAGAAAAAAAAGTCCTTCAGTATGCTATGTTATTGGAATGGGAAAATGTCTTCCAGCGAGAATTCTGAGGATCATCACCTTTTGTTATTGTATCGGCCACTAGCTGTTGTATTCAAGCGAGTTGTCAGTGATCCGCTGAGAGTAGATATGAATACAATTCCTTCTTAAACGGAAGAAGATTACTAACTCGAATATTACTATCGATCGCGAACTGATGGCAGTTGAAGCACAATTGATCAATAACCTTTACCAGATGCTGCTTACTTGGGCATTTGAAATACTAGTTTTAGTTATGCGATCCACAAAAGATATCTATGTGTTTCTGGGTGACTATACCACAAAATACTACCAAACTGTTTCGCTCGGCTTTTAACCATGTAGTGCCCAGAGATAAATCCTCTGGTGTTCTAACAATTTGACACCTAAGAAACCCCCCATTACCTAGTTTGCATAAATTTTTGAGCCTTTTTTGGCTTCCTTTCTACAGTATGTCGGGCTGGAGTATTGTAGTGGGTGGGGGTTACGTAACCAGAGGAACACTTTCTTGGTTACTAATATCAACTCTTGTTGACTTTTTAACACGCTTTTGGTTTAGTTTTAAATACAATCTTTTGACCACCTTACAGTTTATATTTACATTTCGATACAGCACTTGTGCAGATGGTTGGCTGACTTCATAATTCACACGGGCTTCAGCAGAATTCCCAGGAGTAACGCTTTCTGCTCTCATCTTTGGAGGGTCTCTCTCTTATGGTGACTTCGTCGACTATGGTTCTCAGATCGAGAAGCGTTGGAAAATCATATCTTTGGACAGAGTAGATCAATATAAGCTGCAAAACTCGACTTTTTATCGCATTAGGTATCAACGTTCTTTTTTCGAATTCAGCTCTTCTTGTCATGTGAACGAAACTTATATGAAAGTCAAAGGAAAAGCGCTCGCGGTTAACCAATCCCATCACGGATGCGCCAAGCACTCGACTTCATTAAGCATCGTTTGAGGTGATTCAGTGCACATTTAAGTATCGTTTGAAGTGATTTAGTGTATATCTTAGTAGTACAAACACTTGCAGTGGCCTATCGATGTATCCCTCATTGCTGCCATTATTCCAGACAGATCTGAATACTAATTTGTTGACCTCGAAGCAAAGGCAAGCTGGGTTAGCCTAGGGCGCAGGATTCAAACAAGGACCACGTGTGTTGCACGGCATCCTGCCTTGCTATACGCTCCCCGGAGCCATCTCTACTCATTGACATTTTCGCCATTTAGTTAGGACATATGATTTCGTCGTTCAGTAGAAAGGTGGTACTAGAGTTACACTGCTCAGCGGTGAACAGCCTTTAAAAAAGATGTGAACTTGCCGAGTTTATTCCCTTCTTATCTGGATGACAAAAGGGAAATAAATGAGTTTTTCGCTATTTCTAAAGCATCCGAATATCTCGAATGAAGATCCAGTGATCCACTGAGGAAGAACCGACTCGATGCGAAGATAAAGAAGCCACATCGAGAAGAGGAACAACTGTCGACCATCGACTCGGCGCATCGGTTCTGAAGAAGAAGACGTCGAAGCGTTATTCGAATATCTTTTCAATTTTTTTTTAATGGGTGTCTGGGTTAGACAGTGACCACCATCACTGACATGTTTTACTCTTCTTATCACCATAAAGAACAAAAATTGATCACGCGATATTTATGAAAACCAGGTAGGTCCGCAATCGTAATCATGTCTTAATCAGAGTTGCACCTTCGGAGCAATGAAAGAATCGCTTCGTGTCTTTCTACCTATTCAGAGCTCTCGGCTGAACGGTGAATGTTGTACCAACAGTGCTCTGAAGAAAGCTAATCCTTCTATCTTTTCGACCTATAATTATGTTCTGTGTCTGTTTAAATAATTCGTCGATCGAAATATAAATGCCGAGTTTTAACACACTCGCGAAGCACAGCGTTTTGTAGATAAACGACAGTTTTTCGATAAGTATTGGACCTCAGGGGTTGTAAAGGAAAGAAACTATCTTAAATAAACCATCAGAAAGAGAATGACTCATCTATAGCTTACTCCGGCCATTCAGCGTACCTTCTATGAATGTGTAAAACGCGCACCGTCTCGAATGTATTAATGAAGCACAAGTAGTACCTTATTTCACTTTAACCTTATTCAATGTTTGAGGCACAGTTATGCTATGTGACTTGGGAGAGAGAATATCAATAAAGGAATCATATTAACGTTCAACAAAAAAAGACATTTTCACTAGATGGGGGAAGGTCCGCTTGAATTTTCGATCTTGGAATCGATCTTCAGGACAACGGATCTTTGTAAAGCTGACAGTTTAAGAACTTCATAGTTGGTGAAACATGCTTTTAACGTAAGACAGGTTGCATTACGAGCATAACAAAGCACACATCAAGCAGGGAATGGTCGCTTTCTGCAATGTAGCAACGGACTATGTTGTAGCCACAGA